TAATTATACTATACTATACAGAGTATATATATATATATATATATATATATATATATATATAATTTTATTTATGTTTTTTGAATCCCCAAAAACAGTGTATCTTGAAACACATTATCTAGACAAACTATTTTCAAGATTTTTATATGTTTATAAATCTATTTAATTTTAAGCATTTGTGGAGCTTAAAATTTTATAATTAGATATGAAAATAGATTTTGAGATAATCTTAAGAATGTTTTACACCAAAATTACATATTACGACGAAATTTGGAGGTGCGCCTTAATTGGATTGTTTAAGGTTGCAACCTAATAGAAACCACACCCGATTTAGAATGGTTTTAGTAGGGGAGCAAAATAGGAAAAGTATTTGGCAAGCTCTGTACAACCTCACTTGTATTTCATGGCTCCCAAACACAAGTAAAAATCTATTTTTTGACCCTAGAAACTAGATTTAGAGCTCCAACACTAGTACCAATTTGACAGATCTACGGTTTGTTGAAATGGAAGGTCTTAATAAAATGGTGAAAGATTAGCCACTTTTAAGGCTCCGCATCCATTTTCTTCGTCATCAAAGGCGTCCATATGATGGATATATAGACCATTGATTTCTCAAAGTCTTCTTTAAGGGATCCTTTAAAATAAGAAATATGATCGCATGTTCTCCCAAGAACACCAAATGCCTCTCATCTCCAAACCCACTTTAGAAAAGTTGGGGGACATAAAAAACCATACTAAAGTCAAAATATTTTATGCTTCCAAAGATAGATGCTCCCTTGTCTAGGACCCAATGTGTGCTAGTAGGTTTTTGGGACTTCAATATTATGTCATATGACCTAATAAACTTAGCAATCCACCTAAATAAAAACAACCATGGGTATGTGTTGTGATAAGTATGAATCAAGACTATCCAATTTTTAGATGGTGTTTAAAAACTCCAATTTCAATTTTTTATTTTTTATTTTTTAAAAGATTTATATATTGATCCTAAAGTGGATCCAAAAATTTTAAATCAAAAAAAATTTATGTATATAGCCTAATGTATGGCAAATCGGCCAAGTTAGCTCAGACTCGGGTGAGTTACTTAGGCTCGGGCCAAGCCTGAGTTATCCCAAGTTGGGGGTCCAAATTGGTTGATATTTAAAAAATTCAAAAAAATATATAAAAAATCCCAAAACTAATTTTTTTTATGTACTCTTTCTATTATTATGATAAAGATTGGAAAGTATTTTGGCCATGAATATTTTTTATATTTTTCCAAAATTTTTAGAAAATTTCAAAAATACCTTTAGTCACAAATTGATTTTTCAAAATCTATTTTTGCCACCTTTTTTTTTACCACATTTAAATGCGTTTTGTTTAATTTTACTTTAAGTATATTTTTCCTTTTTTTTGGATTTTTTATATTTTAATTTTTTTGCTACTACAGTATTCGGCCCTACTCTGGTCCAATACTTGGCTCCAGGCCAAATACTCGGTCCGAGTAGTGATTTTGAACACTGGTATAACATACTCCGGAAGGAACACGCTATCGTATTTCAAATAATTCTCTAATGCTTTAAAAAACAATCGTCTAACAAAGGTATTAGTTGGAGATCCAAAAAAAACTTCAAATTTGCCACTATATTAGAGTCAAATCTTGACCCATGGATTAGGGGAACTTGGAGAGCTATAAACATAATCAAATTTATTTAGGAGGTTAGACAATTTTTTTGGGGTAACAAAAGGGTTCCAAGGGAACCGAACACCTCATTTGGCCTCATCAGTGCATACCGGTGTTTCAAAATTCGGACCATTAGGGTGGATCGTCCGTCTCAGACCTCCGATTCATCTCTAGTTATCGGATCACCAATCCGGATCGGTTTGAATCAAATATCTGAAAAAAATAAAATAAAGAAAAATAAAATATGGGCTTATGCATGGAGAAATTTAGGAGCGTATCAAGGAAACATTAGATAAGCATACTAAATAAATAAAATATAAAAAAGAGTAGGTTTTAGGAGGAGTCAGGGTACCCATACCTTGCCCTAGCTGATTTGATCATGGCAAATTCCTTATCTAGATCGGTGATTTTCAATCCAGATATGGGGGTTTTAAACACTGGCTCGTAGGGGTAGCACTAGGCTTGGCGGCATGGCTAGTAAGTGACCGGATTGGGGCAACTAAATTTGGCTTGATAGACAAGCTACACCTGATGTCTAGGTGGTGTCCAGATCGGTTGAGCCTGGATGATGAGTCTTAACTCTGATCGACATGGCCTTTTCTTTGTTATTTTATGAATGGGTGAGGTTTCCCTAAGGTTGCAACCTAAAACAATCCAATTAAAGTGCATCTCTAGATTTTATGATAAATGTAATTTTGATATAAATAATTCTTAGGATGGCTTGAGAATCTATTTTCATCTCTAGTTATGGAGTTTTAAATTATAAAAATAGTTCAAATCAAGTAGATCTATAAACATATGAAAATATTGAAAATGGACAGTCCAGACAATGTGTTGCAAGATACATTATTTTGTGGTCTCAAAATCGTTTTTTCTTTTCTTATTCATACATCTCGATGTTGAGATGATCAATTAGAGAGTTTTCCAACATCCAAACAATCTTTAATGATAAATTTTTTATGTGCACCTTCAATTCTACATTTTAAAGTTGCAACCCTATATAAACTTTTTCCTTTATGAATTTAGAAGAAAAATTAACAATTATTAGCCCGGGATAGGCCATCTAGCCAAGGCTAGGGTCCTAATTAGGGCCAAGTAGTTTCTGTCCAAGGCTCAACCCTGGCCCAGCCTGACCCTTGTCGGTGCACGTTAGCATTTCCCTTAATATAAATATCTTTAATCAAATAATCATATCAGAATGTAACGTTTTTTATGAAAGTATCATAATTTATTTCTCGTCCAGTATTTAAAATTTAGTTATTCATCTTTAGTCCTTACCCGAAAGGAAATAGGCACCCCAAAAACCAGAAATTGCAAACTAAATTGAATTTAGGGCTCTTAAGTTATTTGAATTATTTTCTTACAAATACCTTAATATACTTACTGGAGTTTTCTTAATCACTTTAATTACTTTATCAATGGTTTAAGTCAATCATTTTTTATTCAAAGTTTAACGTTTCCTTTTTATTCTTAAAGCCAATTATTTAATTGGAAAAGTATACAGTCATATCGTTTACTTTTATTACAATAATATTACAATTGATTTGAGTTGTTAGATGCAAAATCTAGCCGTTGAGACGTGCTAATGATCTCTAAGTCCAATAATTATTTTTTGATCTTTGAAACGCACAACTAGCCCTAATTTACATATAATGGCAAGGAGCATTGTTTCGAACCTAGATTGATCCACTCCACATATTTGTCTCTAATCGTCGATCCAAATCGATCTAAATCAGTGATCCAAAAAATATTCAAAATAAAATATAGGTATATGGGTGGTTGGGGGCCCTCACTGAAGGTATGGCCCTTTATAGGAATTTAAGAGGGGACCTAAAAAAATATTAAATAAGTTTAAAAGAAGGGGTTTTTGGGAGAATTGGGCTAATGCCGATACCTTCACAGAACCAGTTTGGCGCTGACCAATTTCTAATTCAGATAAGTGATTCCCATTTCTAAT